ATGGACATCGTGGCCCCAATCGAGGAAGCAACATCCCACATTAACAGAGAACATGCAGAAGAACTACGCTGGAAAGTCAGGCATGCATTGGAAAGGGCCAAACCGCCAAAGGCCAATACCACCAAAGAGGAACTGGCAGCAATCAACAACCTCAAACAAGACGGCAGCATCATCATACTTCCAGCAGACAAAGGAAACACCACCGTTGTCATGGACAAGAAGGAATACGACCACAAGATGAACAGCATTGTGACAGATGGATCGTACACCAAACTGAAGAAAGACCCAACCCCGGCCTGTGAACGCAAACTAACAAAGCTCCTTAAGAAGAACAAGGACAAGGAACAACTCACGGACGCCCAGTACAGAAAGCTGAGCCAACATCACAGCAAACTTCCACACATGTACGGGCTACCAAAGGTACACAAGACCAATGTACCGCTAAGACCAATAGTAAGCTGCCGTGGCTCAGCCTGCCATCCTCTGAGCCAGTTCCTCGTCAAGATCATCAACCCACTGAGTGGCAAAACACCTACATATGTCAAGAACTCAGCCCACTTCGTCTCACTGGTTCAGGCCATGCGACCTTCGCCGAACATGCAAATGGTAAGCTTCGATGTGGTGAGTCTGTTCACCAATGTGCCCACTACCGAAGCTCTGAGCATAGTGAGGACAAGACTGGAGAGCGACGATACACTGCCCGAAAGAACGACAATCCCGACTGATGACATCATGGAACTCCTGACATTCTGTGTCACCACCACCGCCTTCCAACTGGGCGATGACTACTACCAACAAACTGAAGGAATGGCCATGGGTTCACCCCTGTCACCGGTGATCGCCAACATCTACATGGAACACTTCGAGGAACTGGCCTTACAAACAGCACCACTGAAACCATCCCTGTGGCTGCGATATGTCGACGACACATTCGTCCTGTGGGACCATCGCGAGGACATAACACCGTTCCTAGACCACCTCAACAGCCTCCGACCCTCCATCCAATTCACAATGGAAACAGAAGTCGACAACAAACTACCATTCCTTGACGTCCAAGTGGAGAAATCTGAGGAAGCATTCAGAACATCGGTCTACCGCAAACCAACAGCGACCGACCGCTACCTCAACTTCAAGTCACACCACCCAGACACAGTCAAGAAAGGTATCGTAAGATGCCTGCAGACCCGAGCCACCAACATCTGTGGAGACGAAGCAGCCAGAAAGATGGAAATGTCACGCCTCACCAGCACCTTCAGGAGAAACGGATACCCAACGAGCTTCATGAAACACAAACCCAAGGAAGCATCCCAACAACAACCAAGGGATAAGCCCATCGCGACAGTATCCCTCCCATACAACAGAGGACTGTCAGAGAAGCTAAGGCGAATCTGCGGAGCATACAACATCAGGACGGTGTTCAGAAGTACCACCACCCTCCGCAGGTCACTCACAAAGGTCAGACCGCCAACCACCAAGGAGAAAACAAAGAACTGCATATACGACATCCCGTGCAGCTGCGGCAGGTCATACAAGGGCGAGACTGGCCGCCCACTGGCGGTCAGGCTCGAAGAACACAGGAAGGCCACCATCCGAGGCGAAACACTGAAATCCGGTGTGGCGGAGCATGCATGGTCTGAAGGAGATCACAGACCTGCTTGGGATGATACCACCATCATCGACAAGGAGCCACACTGGAAAATCAGAAAAATCAAGGAAGCCGCACACATGGCGCTGGCTAGCAACCCCATCAGCAAGCCAAGCGTTGACATCAGCCCAATATGGCTCCCACTACTAAGGAAATCACAAAAACATCTGGGGGATAAATGACACCAAGTTTCCAGCTCCATAACGATGTCTGCCTCGATAGTGGAGTGGTTAGAACCGTGGACTATCACCGGGGAAACCCGAGTTCGATTCCCGCTGACTACAGGAGCTTTCGAACGGTATGACGCGTACGGCGCAACGCCACCAACATCCAGGTCCTTCTAAGGGCCAAAGAACACCTGACGACGGCCGGAGAAGTAACTGGCCGAAACGTTGTGAAACTAACATCTCAACTCAAGACGGGGACGAAAGTCCGACAACTAACATCAGTGATACTAACACCTCGTCTCAAGCATTCAGAAGAACTATTCAACGTTTGGGTTGGTTGAAAGCTAATGAGCTCGTCCAGTACCACACTATGTGCATGGTTCATAGAGTACGTCGCGCAGGCGAACCTGAAGCACTGGCTGAAAATCTCATTAAAAGCTCAGAGACCCGTGACCGCAATACTAGACAAAACAACACATTGTACGTACCAATGTCACATACAGAGATGGGACGAAGGCGTTTCTGCTGTCGTGCACCTCGCCAGTATAATGCGCTGCCACATGATTTGACGTTACGCTCGACGCCAGCTTTCCGGAGTCACTTAGTAAGCCACCTATGTGACAGTCGCACCGTGACTGGGCAAGAGTGACGTGGTCCGATGTCCGAACTATTAGAGCAATGACTATCGAGCGATTGTTGTTAAATGTGGATGATTCGTCTCGTGTGTGTATAAGATGTGCTATTTTTTACAGCAACCTAGGCGTGGTTTATGATCAGGGGCGGATCCAGGAAAACTCCAAGGGGAGGGTCATGAATCGAAGTGGTGCCCCTACCTATACCCAAAATTAAAAACTCAACGGATTTCGTCCACTTCATTTTGGTGGTGCCCCCATTTTCAGTTTTTTATTTTTATTTTTTATTTTTAGTCAGTATCTTAACTCTTAGCCACAACCACATTTACCAATTGTAAGCAAGTATATATGAATGTGCTATGTGTATATATGTTGTGGACGCTGAGTAGTGAGTACTTACCAGGAACGTTATCAGGTAAGCAAATCGTTGTCAGTCCGACGAACTTGACCTTGGCGTCTAAAGGGTCTGTCCTTGACACTTCAGGCTTGTCAGGGGCACCAAAGTCCTTCCAGGGACACCACAAACCTGTCAGGGGCACCTACGGCCTTGTAGGGGCGCCACAGGCCCGCCAGGGGCACCACAGGTCTGCCAGGAAGCAGGGGCACCACAGGTCTAGCAAGTATACACGACAGGCCTGTCAGGGGCACAACGGGCCTGTTGGGCCCATGAGCACCCCTAGGGGCAGGGGCACCACAGTCCTTCCAGGGGCACCGCAGGCCTGTGAGGGGCACCAGCGGCCTAGCAGGGGCACCAGTCAACACAGGCCTGCCAGGGGCACCACAGACCTGCCAGGGGCACCAGAGGCCTGTCAGGAGCACCACCGACCTCGCAGGGGTAACTTGGGCCTGTCAGGGCCCAGGGGCACCACGGGCCTGTCGAGAGGCACTTCAGGCTTTTCAGGGGCACCATAGTCCTCTCCGGGCGCAGGGATAGCAGGGGCACCAGAGGCCTGCCAGGGGCACTACAGGCCTAGCAAGGGCACCACTGGTCTATCAGGGGCACCACGAGCCTGTCATAGCCAGGCATCTCAGGCTTGTCAAGGCCCAGGGGCACCACAGGTCTGTGAGGGGCACCAGCGACCTAGCAGGGGCACCAGTCAACACAGGTCTGCCAGGGGCGCCACAGACCTGCCAGGGGCACCACAGACCTGCCAGAGGCACCAGAGGTCTGCCAGGGGCACCACCGGCCTCGCAGGGGCACCTTGGGCCTGTCAGGGGCACCACGGGCCTGCCGAGGGGCACTTCAGACTTTTCAGGGGCACCAGTCCTCTCCGGGCGCAGGGGTACCAGCGGCCTAGCAAGGGCACCAGAGGCCTGCCAGGGGCACAAGCGGCCTAGCAAGGGCACCAGAGGCCTGCCAGGGGCACCACAGGCCTAACAAGGGCACCACGGGCCTGTCAGGGGCACCTCAGGCTTGTCAGGGCCCAGGGACACCACAGTCCTTCCAGGGGCATTACAAGCCTGTCAGGGGCACCAGAGGCCTAGCAATGGCACCCCAGGCCTGCCATGGACACCACAGGCCTGCCAGGGGCACCACCGGCCTTGCAGGGGCGCCTCAGGCCTGTCAGGGGCACCACGTGCCTGCCGGGGACACTTCAGGCTTGTCAGGGGCGTTACAGTCCTGTCAGGGCCCAGGGGCACCAGGCCCGTGGTGTCCCTGCTAGGCCTGTGGTGCCCCTGGCGGTCCTGTGGTGCCCCTGTCAGGACTGTGATTCCCCTGATAGGCCGGTGGTGCCCCTGGCAGGTCTTTGGGCCCCCGGGCCTCAAGGGGGGGGGGCCATGACCCATGTGACCCCCCCCCCTTGGATCCGCCCCTGTTTATGATAGGGCAGGAAATGCTGTGTACATATGTTGCATGCTTTGTACTACATAACTGAGACTGTAATAGCCCCGAGTACATCGAGGATTGTCTCATTAAATACATTACAATTACATTACAATACATTACATTACAATCACTCCGATTTACCATAGGAAAATACATAGAAAATGTATGTCTCAACTGCGCCAAATATACAGACAGTTATATACCTACATGTGACGTCATGATTAGCCCGACCAATCAGAAGCAAGTTGTTTTCAGTCACAAATAATTAATTTCTGAACTATCTAGGCATTTTTTTAACAAAGTGATTTTAAATTAAATCATTAAAAATTCTGAACTTTTTTATTTTACCAAAACATACAGAGCATGCAGATAGGTCCCAACCCTATTGGTAGGGTATTATGGGTTTGGGTTTCACTAATCTGAACCGTGCGGGGTCATTCTCCCAGGCTGTGACGCTAGCAGGGTTATTAGTTTGAGAACCTCTGGTGTGACCTGTGTCGGGTCATTCTCCACAGGCTGTTACGCCAATATATTACAATAAGTTTAAGAGCCCCTGGTATGACCCGGGTCGGGTCATTCTCCCGAGGTTGTGATGCCAATATGTGCCAATAAGTTTAGGAACCCCTGCTCTGACCTGGATCAAATCTACTATCCTTAGGCTGTGACGCCAATATATTACAATAAGTTTGAGAACCCCTGGTTGACCCGTGTCGGGTCATTCTCCCCAGGCTGCGACGCCAGCAGGGTAAGCGTGGTTCACTTTCTGGCCTATACCCACGCCGCTGGCGGACTCAACGCACTGCTAGAGGCCACGCCAGGCACCGCGCAGGAGTTCAAGGTCAAGGTCAGTGCGGGGTCAAAGGTCAAGGTCAGTGCGGGGTCAAAGGTTAAGGTCAGTGCGGGATCAGAGTTCAAGGTCAGCGCAGGGTCCAAGGTTGATGTATTTGGATGGTTGAAAGTTCTTTTTTTATAGTAAAGACACTGGTCAGAGCCGTAACTTAGCCGAAGTGGCTAAGTGAAGTGGATAAGTGGCTAGATCATGGTCTATGAGCAAGATAATGATACGTGTCTAGGGTCACTTCACGGTCAGTGAATGCAGTGTGTATGCATCTTTGTTCATATGCATGATTCTGTGTATGCCTATGTAATTATGTATAGATGTATGGGTGTATTACTTGTATTTGAAAATACCACACGGGCACTTTCACTTCAGGTTCTATCACAATCAACGAGAAAATGTAATGCGAACATATCAATGCTGTGCAGTGTGAAGGAAAACAAACGACTTGTCTGTCACATCAAGGTCATTTTAAATCCATGAATCTACAGACCAGTCGCATGAGCTTTGAGGTCCTCGAAACCCTCACACTCCCGTGGTAGGAAGTAGAGATGTCAATCGGATACCAGCTTTTTGGTATACCAATACCAAACCGATACCAACTCGGTATTTGGTATTTCAATCCTAATGTGTTTGGCATTTTGTTGGTATCATGAACCCTTGCTAATGTTTAAGAGGCTAAGAAATCGATAAAAAAGTTGGTATTTTCCTCATGTTCCCAAGTTGGTTTGGTTTTGGCATTTGCCCACGGTTTTGGTTGGTATTTGATTTGGTATCGGTATTCCGATTTTCCGTAATTGACATCACTAGTAGGAAGGCTCCAGTTGTGGACTGATGTGATACCGAATGACTGATAAGACTTGATCGCTAAACCGTGTTCCGATAAATGGTATCTTATCGAGTTGAAGCGAGGCAAGCGTGTTTAGATAGTTTTGTGCGGTCTAAAGATAATAAGGAAGGGCATTGATGGTATAATTACTAGTTTCATGTGTTGGGAACTGAGCGTGATACATTTTATACATTAATCGACAGAAAACGTAACTTTTGATATACATATTCGAGCAATGACGACGACGTTCACACTTCACATAATCCTATGCTACCAGAGTTTAGTAAATTTCCTCAACAAATTAAAATTGTCATCCTCGCTTGAGATAAACAAATTATCTTTGATTATTCATACAACAATGGTGAGTTTCGTGTGATCAATTCCGGGCTTCCACCGATTTTGGTTGGTTTTTGTTTTGGTATTGGTATTCTGATTTCCGGTAATTGACATTACTAATCTGAGTGTTTTCGCCGCCAGGGAGGTACCCAGCAGATCAGCGAGCTGCTTGCCGACCGTATCGGGCGTCATCGTATCTTCCTGGGGCACCCCGTCACGGAGATCACTCAGGGGAATGATGACGTCACAGTCAGTACCGGGGACGGCGTCGTATTCCACTGTGAGTTTCGGTAGAGTCCATCGTGTTTTATAATACAGTTTATCGTCTTCCACTGTGAGTTTCGGTAGCGTGCATCGTGTTTCACTAAAAGTTCAACATCTTTCAATGTGAGTGCATGGATTCACACTGTGACTTCATTGTGTTACTCTGAGTTCATTGCCTTACACTGTAAGACCATCGCCTACATCGAAAGTCCATCGTTTTACACTGGTGTCTTTCACGATGGGTTTTGCTGTGAGACCATTGTCTTCACTATAAGTAAATTGCTTTCGGTATTACAATATGATTATGCAGTCCCACACTGCGACTTCCACTGCCGTCTTTCACTTTGAGTTCCACCCTTTATTGCCAGACAGAATATCTCTACGTTATCAACGTGCAAAAACAATTGTGACTATGACGGTAAATCAACAGATTCATCTGCCCCAAGACTGCCGCAACACACTATGCTCAGGGCAGTCTGGATCTCTCATTCCTAATTTTCTAAATCAACACCAATCTAACAATAAGCCAAACGTCTTTCGCGGTCAGGCAAATACGTCATCTCTGCTTTACCTCCAAACCAGCTAGCCAGGGTGAACTTCACTCCACCGCTGAGCCCAGTGAGGCGAGAGTTGATCTCCAACATGCCCATGGGACATCTCATCAAATTTGTCGTCACATTCGAGGAGGTGAGGATGTCCAAAATTTATCCGGTTAGCATTGTTTTTTGTTTTGTTTTTTGCTATGACCATGAGTGAAAATAATAGCGAATGCTAATGCAACGATGCATTTGTTGGTTGGACTTTTAGGCAACAATAGCTCATTGTCATTGCGTCTCATGAACTGAAATTGTATTTCATAACCAAAATTGTGGCGACCAAAATTCGCAGAGATACTTCGTTGGGGAAATATTCAACTAGCGTAAAAGTTCATTATAGTAACGCTGTGTAGAAGTACGTTCACTGTTATTCGATAGCTGCAAAATCACCCAGGTTCAAGTATTGTGCTCATTTGTATTTTCTGTACGTCATCTGCACGTTCAGTTTTTTTTTTCTCTCTCACCCTCTTCCCTCTCTTTCAGGCTTTCTGGCGAGCTGCCGGCATGTCTGGCGAGGTCGTCTCAAACGGTGGACCTAGCACAGTTCCCGGGTGTACCCACGGTCCGCTGTGTATTGTCTATGACGCCACGTCTGACAAGTGCAGTCCGGCGCTGGTCGGATTCATTGCCGGAAGCACCAGCGTGGGGTGGGAGAGCAAACGGTGAGTGAAGAGAGAAGGAAAGAGAAGAGAGAGCGAGAGAGAACGAGAGCGAGAGAGAACGAGAGAGAGAGGGAGGGAGAGAGAAGAGAGAGAGAGAGAGAAGAGAGAGAGAGAGAGAGAGAGAGAGAGAGAGAGAGAGAGAAAGAGAGAGAGAGAGAGAGAGAGAGAGAGAGAGAGAGAGAGAGAGAGAGAGAGAGAGAGCGAGAGAGAGAGCAAGAGATGTAAGGGATATACATAAGACTGACATGCAATCGCCGAAAGGCTGCGCCTGCAGACGGCAGTGAAGGAATATGATTGAATATTCTAGTTCGCTGCTTTATAGAGTATTTATAATATTTGCTTTGTTTGCTTTAAAACCCGCACCCGGCTGGGGGTCCTGGATTTCCACGCCCTGCTGGGGGGTGTTTGAACA